GCCTGACGCGGGGCTCGAACTCACGGACCGCGAGATCGTGACCTGGCTGAAGTCGGACGCTTAACCGACTGCGCCACCCAGGCGCCCCCTGACTCTTGATTTCAGCTCAGGTCATGATCCCAGGGTCATGGGATCAAGCCCCATGTCAGCGTCTGTGCTGAGCATTGATCCGGCTTAAGATTCTCTCTCCTTCTGCCCCTCTTCCCCACTCGCACTCACACTCTCTCTCTCTCTCTCTCTTTCTCTAAAATTAAAAATAATAATAATTTTTTTTTTACTTTTTTACTCTACAATCTATCTTGCATATATTGACAATGGTAGTACCCAGTTAAAAAGAATGAGGAAGATCTATGTGTTAGACCTGGTATCAAGACCATGGTATCAACATAGATATAAATGATTTTTTAATTATCTGCATACATGAGTGTCCTTCATTTTTTTTTTAATTTGGCATTGCCTGACTGCCTAGTTTCTTAGCTTGTTGATTATCATGTTAAGTGTCAGTGCTTATTCAGTAGACTTCTGTGTATAGGAGGAGATACAAAAGAAGAAAATATGTTTTTCATTCTCACTTTGGATCTTACTTTGGAGTTAGATGCATACAGTTAAGAAATCCACATTAAGGGGGCACCTGGGTGGCTCAGTAGGTTAAGTGTCCAACTCTTGGTTTTGGCTCAGGTCATGATCTCACAGTTTGTGGGTTTGAGCTCCACATCAGGCTCTGTGCTGACAGTGCAGAGCCTACTTGGGATTCTCTCTTTCCTTATCTCTGCCCCTCCCCTGCTCACTCTTTCCCTTTCTCTCAAAATAAATACACATTATTTTTTTTATTTTTTTAGATAAATATTAAGAAATAGTGAGCAGGGGGCGCCTGGGTGGCGCAGTCGGTTAAGCGTCCGACTTCAGCCAGGTCACGATCTCACGGTCCGTGAGTTTGAGCCCCGCGTCAGGCTCTGGGCTGATGGCTCGGATCCTGGAGCCTGTTTCCGATTCTGTGTCTCCCTCTCTCTCTGCCCCTCCCCCGTTCATGCTCTGTCTCTCTCTGTCCCAAAAATAAATAAATTAAAAAAAAAAAGAAATAGTGAGCAGTTTGAGATCATATATAGTAAGTCTGGAACTGCATGGCATAGAATGTCAGTGTAGTAAAAGGTGGAAGAAAAACAGGTCTACTGGTTTACTAAGGAGGTTGTAACTGAACCAAGAGTTGAGAATTAAGGTACTGTTGAGTATCTGCTTGAGATTAGGTTAGGTACTTTATATGGCATTTTCCTCAATCTACATTACCACTTCCATTAGGTAGATATTGTACACATATTAGAGGTAAGAAAACAGATTCAAGTAATTTCTCCAGAGTCACATCATTAGAAATGGTGCAATGAAGATTTGAACTATTCAATTTTATGTGAAGTCCATGCTCCTACTATACTCTACGTGGACAGTATAAGGTAAGGAGGGAAGATATTTTAGGTAGAAGAAACAATACAAATGGGAGGTCCAGGAGACACAATGAAGATGGTGTTTTCAAGTATTCAGGATATGTAAGTGATAAACTATGAATTACTCTTTATTTGACTTAGAGCATTCTGTACATATGTTTTTAAAGTAAAGTTAGAAAAGACAGTTTGTAAAATTGGTTACATTTGGAAGGGTGGGACGGTTTTTGTTTTGTTTTGTTTTATAGTAAGTAAATCACCAAACATTAAACATTATGCAAGAAATGATTTTGGCATACCTATATAGAAGAGCAAATTAAGTTTAAATAATTTTAAAAGAATAGTGCTAATTGATTTGTTAAGGTGTTTCTTTTGTATGCCATCCCCACATCGTTGTTTTCACACACTAATTCTGAGTCAAAATTAGAAATGACATTTAATCTAGCAAAATTATGTTTAGAAATTATTGCATTTAAAAGGTAAAGATATCATTGTCTTAAAAAACAGATGATCATTGTCTAAGCCAGATCCTGGAGTTATTGTTTTGTTACTTTTTAGTTGTCCCCCATCGGCAGGCATCTCACTCCACATATCTAGTACCACTTATATCCATCCTCCTTGCTATTATATTAAATTAGGTGCTTCCTCAATACCTTTTTTTTTTTATTTTTTTTTCAACGTTTATTTATTTTTGGGACAGAGAGAGACAGAGCATGAACGGGGGAGGGTCAGAGAGAGAGGGAGACACAGAATCAGAAACAGGCTCCAGACTCTGAGCCATCAGCCCAGAGCCTGACGCGGGGCTGGAACTCACGGACCGCGAGATCGTGACCTGGCTGAAGTCGGACGCTTAACCGACTGCGCCACCCAGGCGCCCCCTCAATACCTTTTTAAAACCATAACAATACATGCATAGTTTTAAGAAACAAATAATCTGAAAGTTATAAATTGTATAACCACAGTTTTTGAAGGGTAAGAATGAGAGGTGTGTGTGTGATCTGGATGTATGTATTCCCTATTTTTTCAGGCATTCCCTTTCAATAGGTTAGCTTTTTTCTCATAATTATTTCCATATTTCCAAATTTTTAACATATGTGTACTGCTGTCTCTTCAATCGATTTTTTTGCCATTATCTAATAATTTTTTTTTATCTAACATGAGGATTTTAGTTTTCTTACACTTAGCCCTCCCTCCAAGCATCTTTCACTGCAGTTATAGCTCAAATTTTGGTTAAATCATTAAATGTTTTTATTACGATGACTGTAATATTGTTCACTGATGAGCATAGTACTATGGTATTAATACGCTATGCATACATTGCCTTTTTCTCTTTTTTATATACTCAGAAATTCAAATATTTCATTTTTTAAAATTTGCCAGAAGTTATATTGTTTATTATAGTTGACTAAATTTGCTAAATTTCATTAAAGTCTATAGCCAAGTCTTCTCACACCCTTTTGTAGCTTCTTAATTCAATTTTCTATATGGTAAAACTCATCAGGTAATCTAACACTTTGTGTGTGTGTGTGTGTGTGTGTGTGTGTGTGTGTGTGTGTGTGGTCTCCTGGAGACATTCCTCCTGGGAGTAATGTTCTCTTGTTCTACTCTGGCTGGTTGTTATCTAGACCCATTGAACAGCTATTATCCTGGGACTTCCCTTTGTCTTGGTATTGTGCTGAATGCTACGATTTCTGCATTCTGTATCTTCCTTCTTCCTAAGTCCTATATTTTGGTGGATTCTTCCTAAGAAAGGAAGAGTGAATAGGGGGTAATTTTCTGTGATCTTGGTGGTCTTTATTTTTGATGAAAGAATATGTACCTCATGCTTGATGAAAATCTTGGCAGGGCACAGAATTCTAAATTGAAAATTATTTTTACTAATACTCCTGAAAACATTATTCTAACTTTCTTTCTGATTATAGGATAGTTTCTATGTCTAGCATTCACAAATCTCGTGATATATTCCTATAGTGTAGATTTTTTTCTTTTCAATCTGGACATTTATGTCCTTTAGAACTAAGAATTTCTTTTGTATTTTTCCTTTGATTACATCCCCTCCCCTTTTTTTCTATTAAATTTTTTGAAACTTCTTTTAGGTGACATTGATTAGTATATATATATTTTTTATCTTTTAAGTCCACTTATGGGACATTTATTCAACTTTGGCATTTGGGTTTTGGGGCTTTTCTTTTACTGAATTTTGGCTGTCTTTTTAATCTTTTTGTTTTCTGCATGTTATTTTTTATAATCTTATTTCTCTGAAAATGCTAATTACATTCTAATAACTTTTTTTTGAATTCTGTACTATCTCTTTTTTTTTTAAGATCTTTTTTTTTTTTCTCAACGTTTATTTATTTTTGGGACAGAGAGAGACAGAGCATGAACGGGGGAGGGGCAGAGAGAGAGGGAGACACAGAATCGAAAACAGGCTCCAGGCTCTGAGCCATCAGCCCAGAGCGTGACGCGGGGCTCGAACTCACGGACCGCGAGATCGTGACCTGGCTGAAGTCGGACGCTTAACCGAATGCGCCACCCAGGCGCCCCTAAGATCTTTTAACCTGCGGGGCACCTGGGTGGCTCAGGAGATTAAGTGTCCGATTTCAGCTAAGATCAAGATCTCACGGTTCATTAGTTCAAGGCCCACATCAGGCTCTCTGCTGTCAGCGTGAAGCCTGTTTCAGACCCTCTGTCCCGCTCTCTCTCTCTCTCAAAAAGATTTTAAAACATCTTTTAATCTGTTTTATTGTTTTGGTTTTTCACGTTGGAGGTTTAGTCCTATTTCTGGTGCTCATTGGCGTGTCCATATTTAACAATGAGGCACTAAAATGTTTCCTCGGAACTCTGAGTGCTTGGTCAGCACTTGTAGGCTGGTGGTACTAACAGTATGTTCTTTGGTTAGTTTCTCCAGGTGAGAAATGTCTAATCTTTCCTGGGATGGAATAAACCTCACCTTAAGTCCCCTGTTTTCATTCTAGCACCTCATTGCTGCTTTGCTGTGTGCCTAGTGTTTCTGAAGCTGGTTCGGTTTTTCTGGTAAAAATCTAACCTATTGCCTCTTGTTTTTAGTTTATCTCCGTTTTGTTAATGTAAAAGTTTATGAGTTTTTTTTTTCAGATATAGTTAGGTAGTTAATAGGTATAATCATATTTTGTTAATAAAACTGAAACTCATTTTGATTGTTTTTGACTATTCTTTAAGTTTTTATTTAAATTCTAGTTAGTTAACATACAGTGTAATATTAGTTTCTGGTATACAACTTAGTGATTCAATACTTGAATACAACACCTAGTGCTCATCACAAGTGCCTTCCTTAATTCCCATTTCTTATTTCACCCATGTCCCCACCCACTTTCCCTCTGGTAGCTGTTTGTTTTCTATAGTTGAGAATCTGTTTCTTGGTTTGCGTCTCTCTCATTTTTCCCCTATGTTCATTGCTTTTGTTTCTGAAATTCCACATCTAATTGAATCATATGGCATTTGTCTTTCTCTGACTTATTTTGTTTAGCATAATACTCTCTAGCTCCATCCATGCCATTGAAAATGGCAAGATTTCATTCATTTCATAGCTGAGTAATATTCCATTGTATCTATATATACCACCTCTTTTTTATCCATTCATCAGTTGATGGACATTTGGGCTGTTTCCCATAATTTTGTTATTGTAGAAAATGCTGCTATAAGCATAGGGGTGTATGTATCCCTTTGAATTAGTATTTTTGTATTCTTTGAATAAATACCTAGTAATGCAATTGCTGGCTCATTGGGTAGTTCTGTTTCCAACTTTCTGAGGAACCTCCATACTGTTTTCCAGAGTGGCTGCACCAGTTTGCATTCCCACCAGCAGTGCAAGAAGGTTCCCGTTTCTCCACATCCTCATCAACACCTATTGTTTCTTATTGTTGATTTTAGCCATTCTGACAAGTGTGATATCCCTTTGTAGTTTTCATTTGTATTTCCCTGATGATGAGGGATGTTGAGCATTTTTTCATGTGTCTGTTAGCCATCTGTAGATCTTCTTTGGAAAAATGTCTATTCATGTCTTCTGCCCATTTTTTAATTGGATTGTTTTTTGGGTGTCGAGTTTGATAAGTTCTTTATAGATTTCTGATACTAACCCTTTATCAGTTATGTTGTTTGCAAATATCTTCTCTCATTCCATAGGTTGCCTCTTAGTTTTGTTGTTTCCTTCACACTACAGAAGCTTTTATTTTGGTGAAGTCCCATAGTTTATTTTTGCTTTTGTGTCCCTTGCCTCAGGAGACATACCTAGTAAGAAGTCGCGACAGCTGATGTCAGAGAGGTTACTGCCTGTGTTCTCCTCTAGGATATTGATGGTTTCCTGTCTTACATTTAGGTCTTTAATCCATTTTGAATTTGTTTCTGTGTATGGTGTAAGAAAGTGGTCCAATTTCATTCCTTTGCATATTGCTGTCCAGTTTTCTCAACACCACTTGTTGAAGAGACTCTCTTTCATTGGATATTCTTCCCTGGATTTGATTACTGAAACTTTGATGTTTCAAGTTTTTCTTGGATTTGATTATTCTTTTTTAAAATATTTATTTTTGAGAGAGAGAGAGAGAGATCAGGAGAGGGGCAGAGAGAGAGAGACAGAGGATCCAAACTAGGCTCTGTGCTGTCAGCACAGTGCCTGATGCGGGGCTTGAACTCACAAACCTGAGCCAAAGTCTGACACTTAACCCACTGAGCCATCCAGGCAACCCTTGTATTTGATAATTCTTAACATTTATTGGCCACTACTGATGACTAATGTTACCTGTTACTTAGCCAGCTAGCTTAATTTTACTACTATAGATCTTAGAGATTGAACTGAGTTTCTTTTGCTATCATGTACTGACTGCAAATATCAATTCAGTAACTAATATTAGGATTACTAAAGTAGATCTTAAATATCATGCTATGCGTTGCAAAAAAAGTTACTCAAAAATATGTTTCTCTCCTTTTGACATTTAGATAATTCAAAAATGGCAGAACTCTTTATGGAATGTGAAGAAGAAGAGCTAGAACCATGGCAGAAGAAAGTAGAAGAAATTCTGGATGAAGACGATGATGAGCTGATCTTTGTTGGAGAGATATCAAGTTCAAAACCAGCCATTTCAAGTAAGCATTTATTTCAGTGAAGTAAAGTTTTATAGAAGATGCAATTTCTATTAGAAAAACCTGTGGGCTGTCTTATCTGTCCTTGTTATTCTGTAAGGAGTTGGAGCACACAGGTCAGTAAGAATTGGTAAGAATCAGAGGGAAGATGTGGTTGAGGACTTGAGTAAGGAGGAGAGAGGTTAAAATATCATTTGAAAAAAATGAAATGTTAACTAAGTTAACTAAAGGTTAAGATTACCTAACAGCATTGTAAGCCTTCTAAAGTTGGAAATCGTAAGTTTTAGTGAAGCTGAGTAGCCTATTCACCGGTTTTCTTTTTCTCCCTTAAGCCCAAATACACCTAGAAAAGAAAGCGTTGGAATGTTTTGCTTGAAATATCAGAATACTGGGTGGCTGGGTGGCTCAGTCGGTTAAGCATCCAACTTCAGCTCAGGTCATGACCTCATGGTTCATGAGTTTGAGCCTTGCATCGAGCTCTCTGCTGTCAGCACAGAGCCCTCTTTGGCCTCTGTCCCCTCTCTGCCCCTTCTCTGCTCGTGCACTTTGTCTCTCAAAAATAAGTAAAACATTAAAAAATAAGGGTGCATGAGTGGCTCAGCTGGTTAAGCATCTGACTTTGGCTCAGGTCATGATCTCGTAGCTTGTGAGTTCATGCTCCGCGATGGACTCTGTGCTGACAGCTCAGAGCCTGGAGCCTGCTATGGATTCTGTGTTTTTTGTCTCTCTCTGCCCCTCCCCGGCTCATGCTGTCTGTCTCTGTCTGTCTGTCTCTCTCTTTCAAAATAAATAAGTAAATAACATTTAATAAAATATCAGAATGTTAAATACGTTTGTGTTAGTCTCTGGGATGCTCACATACAGGCAACTGCCTTAACACAGTGTCATCTTGATTCACAGCTACAAAATGAACAGGCACTGCATGATTCTCCAGTCTCTTGTTTGTGTACCAACATGGGCTATAGTTTTTGGCCACACCCATCTTCCAGCAACTCTTGATTATATTCATGAAGGAAGGAGGGTCTGGTCTTTAGCCACTGTGCTTGGACAATGCAGGCAGTTAGCTTACTTAATTATCATGGCTTTTTAGTAGAACATGTCCAGTAATTTTGTGGATTGTTAGATTTCAGTTAGAGTAATTAGTCTTGACGCTGTGATAATGTTAGAGTGAAGTTGTTGATCACACTTGTTAAAATGTCCAATCAACAATGTGTAAAGTGCAGAGGAGCAACATAGAGAATTTCAAGGGAGAAAGAGGAAATAGATTCTTTTCCTTTATATTTACTTTTTTTAAGCCAGGAGAATTTTGCAAAGAATATAGCCAGCATACCAGTGTTCTCTTATTTACCATGGCAGTACATTATATTGTGGTTAAGACATGAGTTTTTAATTTTTTTTAAAGCCCAGTTCTTGCTTTTCTTGACTCCAAACTTGGTATAGCACTTCTATTCAGTTTTATCAGAGATAGAATAATTTAATTTAATTCTCAATATAATTTCCTGTAGCAAATTGAGAAGTGCCAAGTGGAATGCCACTTCAGTTATAAACTGAAGTAAGTATGTTGGCATGTTGGTTGCTGACAGTGGAACAGAATATAATTATTTCCTAGTTGTTGTGATTATTTTTATCCTGAGCTATTATGATATTTCAAAATTATTATTCAAATAATTCTATTGAAATCATGGTAGTTCAAGTCGGATTTATATCAATTGTAGGTAACTTAACAGTACTCAACTAAAATAGTATGTATTAGTTTTAAGTAATTCTATCTAGAATAATGTGTATTAGTTTTAAGTAATTCTATCAAAAAGAAAGTTGACCTCAGTGAAATTTCTCTTCTAAATGAACTCGGAATTTAAATGAATTTATTGATGTTTAATTTTTGAGCCAAAAAATATTTTTGGCATATGGACCATGAGCTAAATATTGATATAGAACCATCATAAAGTTAGGCGTAGCGGTAAAAAGTTGTGTTTGATAGATTACAGTCACCAAAAAGTACTGTAGGATTGACTCTTTAATGGTTTGAGTAAATACCTACCTTAATTTATGAATGAAAACAGTATCAAGTTGTTTGAGCAGATTTTTCTCCCAGAAGACTTCTGTGGTGCCTAGTCTTAGAGAACTGAATTTCCATTTTCTTAAAACAACCCTACTTTTGTGTGACCCTTTACTTTACAGAATTATTCTATGAAATCTAGCTCTTTTCCCCTAGGAGGGGAAAAAGGAAATATTTTGAGGTTTTATGTGATTTTTAAAATTTTTTGTACCTTTTCCTGATTAGCAATTTTAAGCAAATGTCTGCTCTTCCAAAATTGTATTTGATTCAATAACCTAGAAGTTATGGGTTTGCATGGGTATAGGAATGAACAATCTTTAAAAAAATTTTTTTTACCTTTTATTTATTTTTGAGAGAGAGAGAGAGAGAGAGCAAGTAGGGAAGAGGCAGAGAGAGAGGGAGACACAGAATCCGAAGCAGGCTCCAGGCTCTGAGCTGTCAGCACAGAGCCCAATGCGGGGCTCGAACCCACAAACTGTGAGATCATGACCTGAGCCAAAGTCAGACACTTAACCCACTGAGCCACCCAGGCGCCCCAGGAGTGAACAGTCTTAAACTGATTCAGAGGGTCATGTCAGGCTCAGATTGACTTTTGGTATAATAGTAGGTTTAAGACACTCTGGTAAATTCTAGGTTAAGTTTAGTCTGTGGTCTTCAGTAGTGTCCCCTTCAGAACTCAAGAGCAGTGGCACAGATAATCTTTTTTTTTTTTTTTGGATTCTTTTTTTTTTTAATTTATATATGAAATTTATTGTCAAATTGGTTTCCATACAACACCCAGTGCTCATCCCAAAAGGTGCCCTCCTCAATACCCATCACCCACCCTCTCCTCCTGGCACAGATAATCTAATCAGCTTGCCCATAATGAAACTTTCAGGCTTTGGGGTACATACTTAAATTATTAGTTGTATATGGATATATTAGGAAATTTTTTCTATTATCTTAATATATATTTAATTCTACTTGTAGATATTTTGAACAGAGGTAACCCCGGCTCATCTTCAAAGGGAATAAAGAATGAGACACTCACTCAAGGTATGGTATTATTGTACTGATTTTAACTCTAAAGTGAAATATTTTGATAAAATTGGTTGTGTGGAACAATATTCAATATACTGTGTAATTTTAAAATGCAGGTGTTACTGATACATTCAAGCCTACAAGTCAACACTACAAAGATCCAACATCAAATCCAGTGGGTGCCTTGCCTAGATTTCATCCTGAATCTAAATCTTCACAAAGCTCTGTTATTCAGAACGTGTCTAAACCTGTAAGTGTTTCTGAAACTACACAATTAGCTCAGGGACACATTGGATAGTATAATATCCAGTTAGAATTGTGGACTATTATAGCTAGTCACCATTCCATTAGAAGCATAATCGCAATCAGAGAATGTCAATATCTTTATGATAGCTCAATCAGTACCCAAAGTAATAACTGTAGGAACTAGCCAACTTGTCAATATCAGGTAATATGCTTAAATAGGTAGAATATTGAAAACTATGCTATCTAAAGGTGAGTAAAAAAGATCAGTAATGATTGTTGCATACTGGCAAAATTCTTAAGACTAATTGAACCAAGTATTCTTATTTGGGAAATTGTTCTGAGGTCATTGTTCCTGTTTATTCTGAAAACATACTTTCATGGCTTAGCTTTTATTTTTTTAAAGTTTATTTATTTTGAGAGAGAGCGCATGTGTAAGCAGGGAAGGGAGAGGGAGAGGGAGAATCCCAAGCAGGCTCCACACTCAGCGGAGAGCCTGACATGGGGCTCAATCTCAAGACCACGAGCTGATATCAAGAGTTGGATGCTTAACAGACTGAACCACCCAGGTGCCCCTTTGTGGCTTAGCTTTTAAAACTTTTAACAGATATAATAGTTAATGGTAATATTTAAGGTTTGTTATTATGGGTCCTTATTCTAAATGCTGTATGTAAATTAATTTCATTTAATTCTTATGATTTCTCTATGAAGTAGGCATGATTATTATCCCCATGTTATACTTGAGGAAACTGAGATTCAGGCTAAATAATTCACTCAAGGCCATATAGCTGGTAAATAGATTATGGATATGGGATTTCAATCCAGGTTAACCCAGAGGTGTTTTGGTTTTGTTTCTTGTTTTTGGGGGGGGGGGTTTCTAAAGAGCATAAAAAATTTTTTTTCATGTTTATTTATTTTGAGAGAGAGAGAGAGAGAGAGAGAGAATCCCAAGCAGGTTCTGTGCCATCGACACAGGGCCTAATGCGGTGCTCGATCCCACGAACCATGAGATCATGACCTGAGCTGACATCAAGAGTCAGATGCTTAGCCTACTCAGCCACCCGGGATCCCCTAGCCCAGAGGTTTTAAAATATGCACGTACACACATCCATCCATACATTTAGCATTGCTATACATAGAAACATTGCTTTAGAGCAGTGTTATAGTCCGCATACCATTGGCATTCCCCGAGACCCTTTCAGGGGTTTGTGAAGTTAAAACTGTTGTGATAATTACACTGAGACGTTTCCTCTTTTCACTGTCAGCATTTGTACTGATGATGCAAAAGCAATGGAGGATAAAACTGTTGGTGCCTTACTGTGAGTCAAGGCAGGGGCACCAATTGGGTGCTAGTAGTTTTTATATTAGTGACCACCAAACACTCACAGAAAAATTTCACTTTCACTTAAGAATAACCTTGAAGATGTAATAAATTACTAATTTTATTTTTTTAATTAAAAAAAGTTTTTAACGCTTATTTATTTTTTTTGAGACAGAGAGAGACAGACCATGAATGGGGGAGGGTCAGAGAGAGAGGGAGACACAGAATCCAAAACAGGCTCCAGGCTCCGAGCTGTTGGCACAGAGCCTGATGCAGGGCTCAAACTCACAGACTGTGAGATCACGACCTGAGCCGGAGTTGGACGCTCAACTGACTGAGCCACCCAGGTGCCCCTTAAATTACTAATTTTATTAACTCTCAGTCCTTGAATACACTTCTTTTGAAATACTGTGTGTGATGAAATAGGTAGTATGCATAAATGATTTCTGTATCTACAGTATAAAGGTTTTCTTGAGGAAAACCACTTGAATTGTAAGTTGAACTAGCTGCTTTTTTTTTTTAATCCAAAGACATTTTTGTTTGAAAGGATGATCGGCAAAGCACCATGTATTAATTATTGCTGCATAACAATAGGATCACAAACTTAGCAGTTTAAAGCAATATGCAGTTATTATCTCATGGTTTCTGTTAGGAGTCAAGGCATGGCTTTGCTGGGTCCTCTGCTTCAAGGTCTCATAAGGCTGCAGTCAAGGTGTCAGCCAGAGCTACCATACCATTTAATATTGCTTCCAAACTCACATGGTCATTGGCAGTATCCAGTTCTTTGTGGGTCATCAGACTGAAGGCATCTGTTTCTTGCTGCTGTTGGCCAGAGACTGCCCTCAGTTCCTTGCTGTGTAAGCCTTCCTAACATGATTGGTTGCTACCTCAAAGACAGCAAGGGAAAGTGAGTCCTTAGCAAGACAAGCTATATACCATAATCATGTACATTCTATCACATTTGCCATACTCTGTTGGTTAGAAACAATCACAGGCCCAATCCACACTCAAGGGGAGATAACACAGAGTGTAAATATTAGGAGGGAGTCATGGGGGCCACCTTTAGAATCGCCGGCACAGTTTTTCAGTCCTCAAAAATGTACAAAGTGTGCCTGTCACAGAAAAAAAACCCAAAAAACCTGATAGTATTCTTGCCAATGATAAGATTTGAGCTTTCAAGCAAAAATTAGATTTTTGTGGGGGCATCTGGCTGACTCAGTCAGAGGAGCATCTGACTCTTGATTTCAGAGTTGTGAGTTCAAGACCCATGTTGGGGGCTTTAAATAAAACTTCTTTAAAAAATAGATTTTGGGGGCACCTGAGTGGCTCAGTTGGTTAAGAGTCCGACTCTTGATTTCGGCTCAGGTCATGATCTCACAGTTAGTGAGATTGAGCCCCGTGTTGGGCTTCGTGCTGACAGTGCAGGGTCTGCTTGGGATTTTCTCTCTCCCTCTTTCTCTCTCTCCTTCTTTCTCTGCCCCTCCCCTGCTTGTGTGCACACATACACACTCTCTCTCTTAAAAAATTAAATTTTAAAAGATAGATTTTTGGAAAACTTGTCTCTGCATTCTGAAACAATTATCAATAATAATATGAGTTCTGGAGTAGTAGTTCAAAAAACCTGAATTGAAAATGAGAGAGACTTGGGGCGCCTGGCTGGCTTAGTCAGGGTAGTGAATTTTAGCCCTACTTGGGGTATAGAGCTTACTTAAATCAAACTGTATAAGAAAAACAAAGAAAAGAAAATGAGGGGCTTGAGTGCTAATTCTAGCTAGAGCATTGTCACAACCTCAGTGGCCCTCATTTTGTTCATTTCTAAAATAAGAATATTTACCCAAACTACTGGCTCTCAAACTTGGATCCTCTAAGCATCCACAGGATGTTTTTCTTTTTAATTAAAAAAATTTTTTTAAATGTACATCCAAATTAGGTAGCATATAGTGCAACAATGATTTCAGGAGTAGATTTCTTAATGCCCCTTACCCATTTAGCCCATATCCCCTCTCACCAACCCCTCCAGTAACCCTCTGTTTGTTCTCCATATTTAAGAGTCTCTTATGTTTTGTCCCCCTCCCTGTTTTAATATTATTTTGCTTCCCTTCCCTTATGTTCATCTGTTCTGTGTCTTAAAGTCCTCATATGAGTGAAGTCATGATATTTGTCTTTCTCTGACTAATTTCGCTTAGCATAATACCGTCTAGTTCCATCCACATAGTTGCAAATGGCAAGATTTCATTCATTTTGATTGCCGAGTAACACTCCATTGTATGTATATACCACATCTTTTTTATCACAGGCTGTTTTTAATAAAAAGTTAATAGGTGTTCTTGATAATGGTAGGCTGCCAAAAATGTAAAAATTATTTTAGCTGGAATCAGACTAATTCAGTGGTTTCTCATGCTATCATAAGCTGTTTGGCATTTAGGGGGAAAAAAGCAAAAAGGAATATAATCATTTACATGGAGATAGATGAAAATCATTCCTACCTTTGACCTAGGGAAAAAGAATAATGGAGTGGGTGGTATCTTTCATATTAAAAAAATTAGAAACTAGAGCTTACTCAGACTCAGAATTTTTTGTTTCTGTGGGTATGGTTGTTTAATCAAAGTTCCTCAGTTTCCCAATCCTAGGGAGCTTTTAGAAAACAGTTTTGTTTTGTTTTGTTTTTGTCATTTGATCTGGGGTGAGGCCTGGGCATGATAGAATTTTTTTTTTAACCCTCCAGGTGATTCTAATGTGAGCAAGGATGGAGAATGACAGATATATATTTTCAAATCAATTGAGAATCCTGTGTAAGGGAATTTTCTCTGAAAACGTTAAGCTTCATTCTTCTCTTACCACAACAGCTCTTTAGGGCAGTCTAGAAGATAATTTTATATGTATGTGTGTGTGTGTGTTTCATAAAAGTTTATGAAACAAAATAATTATAACTTTTTACAGGATTTTACAAAGAATTTATCACAAGTTGAATCGGATGATTCTTCAGATTTACTGTTTGACTTGACCCAGGATACAATTCCACTGTCCCAGGAGGGATCAACAATTTATATAGAAGGTTTGGCTTAGCACATTTTATGAATATAATAAAAAGAAACTTCGTGAATATACATGTGGATTGAATTTCTATTTTGAAACCTATACCTTCATGTTAAGTTTTTCATATACCATAAGATAGAAGCTAATAATCCCTGACTGCCTTTCTTGTGTGATTTCTTGTGTATAAATTTGAATTTAATAGTAGAATATTGTATTTCTTTCTATTAAGTTAGCTAACATGTATTTTTTTAGCTCATTCTCACTTGGAACCAGCCATGGCCTGAAAAATCTTAATATAATTTCTGTGAGTCAAGAAAGTCCCCTGATGTCCTAATACTATCATTTAAAAAAAAAAAAAGTATTAATCATTTGGAAGGCCATTAGTATGAGAAAAAGCATATGGTTATAGTTGATTTTTTAAATAGGCTAGTGTCTTTCTTTCCAAATAAATCATGTTGATGTGATAGTTAAATATGATTATAGAGTATTATTATAAAAAGGCAGTCTTTAAAAAAATGGTTATTTGCACATAGTAAGTACCTAGTAAATATCCATTGAAGGAATAATGAAAATTTTCAATTGAAGTATTACAGTTCTTTGATTGTGTACCATAACAAAGTTCTTCATTAACTTGAAATAAATTAGTATGCCATGAATTTTATTTAGTTAAAAATTCCCTTATAATCATAGCAATTGCTATTTGTATATTAGTAAATTTGTTATATTTCACTAAATGGAGGTATGTAAAGATTTTTTTTAATATTTAAATTGTTTCCTAACAAATTCATGCACATTTATCAAACCAAAATAGAAAAAAACTTCTATAGTAATATGTGTGCAAAAATATTTTTCCCATTTTGATAATACTTGGTTTATTTACCAATCTAGGGTCACTTATCTAAGTTAGTAAAATAACCAAGAACCAAAATAAATGAGAAGGTAAAATAGTTGTCTGAAGTCTGATTTTATAAAGCACATGGTCTTTATTCATAGAAAATGTCTGAAATCTTGAAGCTTCTAGGGGGTAACAAAAGTGACACCTAATCCTCTTGTAAATTGTTATACTATAGGGAGTGGAACTTTGCCTTGATGGTAAATGGGGTTATAGTTGATTAGCAAAGTATAGGTTTGAGCCTGTATTCTAAAGGTTTTTGTGGCCTTTATCATGTCACATCTTTATGTTTCAGATTTCTCATTTCATTGAAATATATACTTTTATTTTTGTCAGATAATGCATTCATTCTCCAGACCTGAAGTCAGCCATTTGGAGATATAATTTTAATTCTTGCTCTACTTATCTCAGAGCTTTTTTGAGGCTCAAATGAGATAAGTGAGAAATGATAAATGCATTAAAGCTTTAAAGGACTTGACAGTAAACAGTTGTTAGAATGATAATTGCAAATGATAATATGTATTATGTGTTCAGAAGCCTGATTAATGGACTCCTGTCTAGAATAATCATAGAAAGTCCTTGGAGAAGGTTGGATTTAACTTGATTTTGGAAGAATGAGAATAGGATTTTTATTGGCACTGTTGAAGATAGTGAATGGCACAAGCCAAAGACAGTAGAAATAAACAGGTTAAGGGGTTAGAATTTAAAACTATTGAGCTCAGAGTGATTTTATTTAACTTGGGAATTTACTCATGCTTTAAAAAATTATATATGAAAGTCTATATTTATTGTACAGCCTGCTAGATAATCAGTTGCCAAAATAACAGCCATCATTGGCTGTTCAAGTAACCTAAGTATCTGAGAAGAATGTTAGTGATTACACAGAAATTGATCCCAAGTGCCTGCAGTATAGCTGTCAGTAAGCATGTGCTTGAAGATGGGAAAAATCATTTCTATGTTATCTTAAAGAATGAAGCACATATTTGACAGTGGAGCCCACTAATACAATACTGTCATTTTCCTTTTATTTGTCTGTTCTACTGCTTCTCCTATTACTGTACAGTTGGGAGCATTAAAATAAGATGTGCAGTTTTAGAATCTTTTTCACAAAGTACAGTTGTGTGTTATTTTCTAGAGGACTTCTGCTGGGTCTGGTTATAGCCTAAATAGCCCCACTTCTCTTGAAAATACCCTGAATTACATGATTCTTTGGCCTTTAAGGTGATGGTTTTCAAACTCAAAACTGTTTAGTAATGAAATCTCCTCTCAAACAAAATTTTATGTAAAAGTCTAATTTCTTTAAAAAGGTACAAGGAGAGTTTTTCTAAATGATTTGCCTACTATATTCCCTAAGACAAAACCATTAGCCTCAGGGGAATACAGTTTGAAAGCCATCATACTTTTTTAAGTTTTTCCATATGAATGTGTGAGGTATTATCATTCAGGATTAGTTGTTCGCACTTTGTTCATGGGTTTAAATTACTTGCTTATTCCCTATCAGGTTGTTAATAAGTAGAAAAAGAACTTTTTATGAGTATCTTAAAGGTTTTCTCTAAATTTTTAAAATAAAAGTTGTTTTTGTTTACAAGCCCAAAGGTATTTAAGCATCTGAAGGTAAATCTGTTTATGGGAACTGAGCTTAGAATGTTCCCTGTGCTTCAACTTTTTTTTTTTTTTTTTTTTTTGCTGGGGATTTTTTTGGTCTGCCTTCTTTTATGTTACCTATTTATATATATTTCTTTATGTGGAAGTATTTTTAGAATTTTCTTGCATACAAAGTTTATTTCATGAATTGTTCAAATGTATGTAGTTCATAATAACTATTTGTACAATTTCTATCTTGATCATATAAGTTTTGATCATTCTGTATTGTCATTTGTATGCTATAATTCATTTATATTATCTTTAATTTAGCTTCAAAGTATTTTTACTTAAATTTAAATGTAAAGCCATTTTAGTAGCATTTGTAAGCAATGGTCTATATTAAAGTATTTACACATATTTTCCCCACTATTTAAATCATTGTAGGTATGGATGAAACTCTGCCTACAAAAAAACGTTCTTCTACTTCTAAAGTAAACAGTGTTAATCCAAAAAAGCCAAAGACCAGTGAAAGTGGTTCTGACATAAGTCCTTGTGCTTCGTTGTCCTTAATTAGCTCTCCTTCGGTGGCATCTTCCCATGTTATGATATCAAAAGGTAAATATGAATCTAGCATGTGAAATAGAAATTATATTACTTATACATAAATTTTAGACATTCTAATGAATTTTTAAACTTTTATTACTGTTTTTTTCACGTTTAAAAAAGAATTTGAGTCACGAAAGTCCTTAATCTATTTTAGGTACAAATACCTCATCACCTCACTATAAAACTGGAGCGCCTTTTCTAAGATCATGTCCGAGGTGCAATGTAAAGTTTAATCTTTTGGATCCCTTGAAATATCACATGAAGGTAAAATTTTTTCAAAATTTGAATTTTAAAAATACTGGCAAGTCTCTGAAAACATTAAGGATCAGTCCATTGTAAATGCTCGTTTGTCCGGGTATTTAGATAAGGAATCTTCTCACTGATATTTTCATATAACTTAAGTAAAAATTGATATTCATGATGATTGTCTTTATACAAGATTTAAGAATCTTTCCCAATCATGAAATTTTAAATTTAGCTTATGTGTATTATAGTATATGCATATTGTATTTTACAGGGGGCATTAGAGGATACCAAGTAATCCTTCATTAATTTTATTAAATGTGATAATAGCTTTATCAGCCATAAAATTATCAATAAAAATATCCATTTTCTGGAGCTGGATGATGAAGTAAGGTGAAATTGACAGTGTTTGGGAATTGCTTTAAAACTAAGGATGCTAGACCAAAGCTTTAGGTGTTGCTTTTTCTAAGAGATATGATTGTCATTGATCTCTCTCTGAGGCTTTAGAATATATGAATACATTAAACACAGTGTGTAGTACTTTAAGAAATAGAATAGTCCCAAGTGAGGAGGAGATCTTCCCTACCTCTGACCCCTTTATTATTTTTTAATGTTTATTTTTGAGAGAGAGAGAGAGCTGGGGAGGGGCAGAGAGTGAGATAGAGGATCTGAAGCAGGCTCTGCAGTGTCAACGCAGAGCTGGATGTGGGTGGGACTTGAAATCATGAACCGTGAGATCATGACCTGAGCTGAAGTCGGAGGCTTAACCGACTGAGCCATCCAGGCACCCCCCTCCAATCTTTTTAAAGTATTATATCTAGAAGACTGTAAAAAGTCCAGTGTTTCTTTTAGCGACAGCCCTTAGAATGTTTGCAGGTATTAGAGCTTTCCCAGGTGAATCATTTATTTCTCAGATCTTAACATTTCTTTCTCTTCATTTCTGGCATTTTTTTTAATTTAAATTTTTTTTAAGATTTATTTGTTTTTGAGAGAGTGCAAGCGGGAAAGAGACAGGGGAACAGACGATCTGAAGTGCGCTCTGAGCTGACAGCAGCGAGCTCAATGCAGGGCTCGAACTCACTGAGCTGTGAGATCATGACCTAAGCCAAAGTTGGATGCACAACTGACTGAGCAACCCAGGTGCCCCTCGTTTCTAGCATTTTACCGCTTGCAGGACAAATGTCTATGGCAAATCTCATTTGCAAAACCATTTGCCCCTACCTATGAAATGGTTCATGGGTGGAGGAATCCTCTCCTGCTCTTGGATGGCCTCCAATCGAATTGCTTTATTCAATCCCATTGCTTTATTCAATCCCAAATGGTTCCCAGATAAGTTAGTCCCATGCGCCACAGCTACCAAGTCACGCAGGGGCTGCAGCCTTTGTCTGATAGGGCCCGCCGGGCCCTGGGCTGAGGCACCCTTAGCCAGCACTCACACACGGTGCTTGAATCTCTGTACATACTGTATTTTAACTTCTAATGAAAATAATGTATTGATCAGAATATTTTATTGACTAGGTCATGCCATTCTTCAAACCTCTTGTAAAGCAGACATTTTGTTAGGTGCTTAATCTTTCATGGTACTTAAAAATTCTTTTCTTTAACGTTATTTTCTTTGGTGATGTACGTGTGTCACATTACTCAATGAAAATCTTAGTCTTGCATTTTAGTGTTTATTCATCAGGCAGAAACTAATGGTAGAACATTTCATAAGTAATGCATGTTACTAATTGTTACAGGTTAATTGTAGCTTTATGTTGGTGTAGGAAGCTCTTGAAATTAGGTTTTAGGTAATTTTCTTTTTAAAAAAATGTTCATGTATTTTGAGAGGGAGAAAGAGAGGGGCAGAGAGATGGGGTGGGGGTGGGGAGAAAGAATCCCAAGTAGGCTCTATGCCCAATGTGAAGCCCGTCCCAGGGCTTAATCTCATGACCATGAGACCATGACCTGAGCTGAAATCAAGAGTCAGATGCTTAACCGACTGAGCCACCTATATTGCAGTGTTCTGTGTTGTCTGTGGAAAGAGAGTCTGTAGTCTTGTATGCCCAATATAAATGGCAGGCAGGGGGAAAGGAGGCAAGAAAAAAGGCCATGTAGATTATATTTAGGAAAGACGGGATGAGAAGAGTGCAAGGCAAAGAAGCAACTTAGGAAAAGTTATTGCTTGCTGTTTCAAAGATTGGCAAATTTTTCACTGAAATTCAACATTTTATAAAAAATGTAGGAAGAAGTGTCCTAAAATTCCAAGTACAATCATTTTTTTAATTTTTTAACGTTTATTTATTTTTGAGAGACAGAGAGTAGGGGAGGGGCAGAGAGAGAGGGAGACACAGAATCTGAAACAGGTTCTAGGCTCTGAGCTGTCAGCAGAGCCCAGTGCAGGGCTTGAACTTATGAGCCATGAGTCATGACCTGAGCCGAAGTCAGATGCTCAACCTACTGAGCCACCCAGGTGCCACTCCAAGTGCAATCTTTATTCTTGGGCAAAACTGTATTTGAATATTGAATATTTGAATATTGGAAATATGATTATTTCCACCTCCCTGAGTGTGATTCCCGTTAACTGAACTTTGGGTTTTGGTTTTATATAAGAATTAGCTTTTGCCAGCATTTTCAGTTTTCCTATCTATGTAATATAGAGATATACTTTTTTAGTTATCCTTGGTTTATTTAATTGGGGGTGGGTGGGTAATATAGTCACGTGATTCAAAAAGTGTAAGAAGATAGTCATCATCCCTTACCATCAAGGAAATGCAAATTAGAGCTAGAGTCAGAGATAACCTCACACCTGCCAGATTGGCTAAAGTCAGCAACACGTGTTGGCAAGGATGTGGAGAAAAGGGAACTCTCTTGCACTGTTGGTGGGAATGGAAACTGACGCAGCCTCTGTGGTAAATAGTATGGAGGTCCCTCAGAAAGTTAAAAATAGAAGTACCCTACGATCCAGCAATCACACTACTGGGTATTTACCCCAAGAATACAAAAATACTAATTCAGAGAGGCACATGCACCTCTATGTTTATAACAGTATTATTTACAGTAGCCAAGATATGGAAGCAGCCCAAGTGTCTATTAATAGATGAATGGGTAAAGAAGATGTGGTATATATACGCAATGGAATATTATTCAGTCATAAAAAATGAAATCTTACCATTTGCAGTGACATGGATGGAGCTAGAGAGTATAATGCTAAGCAAAATAAGCCAGCGAAAGACAAATTCCATATAGTTTCACTTATATGTGGTATTTAAAAAACAAAACAAATGAGCAAAGGGAAAAAAAGAGAGAGGCAAACCAAGAAACAGACTCTTAATTATAGAGAACAAACTGCTACCTACCAGAGGTGAGGATGGGTGAAATAGGTGATGGAGATTAAGGAATGCACTTGTTCTGAGGAGTACCAGGTGTTGTATGTAAGTGTTGAATCACTGTATTTTACCCTGAAACTAATATAACACTGTATGTTAACTAACTTGGATTAAAATAAAAACTTAAATAAAAAAGAACGTATACAGTGAAGAATCCCATCCTGTCTCCTATTTGCCTGGTTCCCAGTATGAGTTGCAAACGAAATAATTTTTTTAATGTTTTGTTTACTTTTGAGGGGTGGGAGGGGCAGAGAGAGAGAGAGAGAGAGAGAGAGAGAGAGAGAGGGAGGGAGGGAGGGAGGGAGGGAGACCAACAATCCGAAGCAGATCTGAGCTGAGAGCTCGGAGTCCCATGAGGAGCTCAAACTCAGAACCTTGAGATTATGACCTGAGCCCAAGTCGGACGCTTAACCAACTGAGCCACCCAGGAGCCCCAAAATATTTTTTTATTAATTTTTTTATATACTCTTTGACATTCTTTCTGAATGTATAGGCACACGTGAATGTTCTTATTTTTCATATATTTTATACACAAATCATAGCATATTACATATATTTCTTCACTTGAAGAAAGTGGCACACACGTTCTCTAAAATGTAGCTTTTATTCATTGTAGTATTGTTTGTGATTAAAACTATGTGAGGGTTTTACATTTTAGCTTTACATTTTTATATATCAGTTGAATTTTTATAATATTACAATAAGGATTTCCATTTTGAAAAAATGTGAATTTTAGATTATTTGTGGATAATCTTTTGCTGTTATTATACATATGTAGATTGGAATACCACAAAGATAATATTTTCTTCCAAAGGAAGTATTTTAGAGTATAAATGAAACATCCTATTTATCTAAGGCACATTACTAAGCTTTAAAGTATTATTTCATTTAATCCATAGAAAATTCTTCAGGCTAGATCTTTTTCTCCTTGTTTTATAGCCAATTAATTGGTATAGCTGGGATTCAAACCTCAGTCTCTTTGATGGCAAAGTCCAGGTTCCCACACTTTTCTCTCCATTTTGAAAATTGCATGGGCTCTTTTCTTGGATGTTACATAGAAACTTGAAAATAAGGGTTGTTATTTGTTTTTAAGAGTATGGAATTTGATAGTTATCAGTCAGTTCTAACATACAAATATGTTATTTAGATTCCTGTATCTTCATTTATATTCATCTACCTGCTCTGTCATTTTTTTAAGTTTCAGATGAACACTATTTTCTTTGATGTCTTCCAATTCTGTTTTATGGCTGCTGCTATTTAGGATATAGATGGATCTATCTCTTTTAACTTCATTGTGAATGTATCCTATATCATGTTTATAAAGTGTTCCCATTTTGGCCTGGATTCTATTTTGTTTGACATTTATATTCTTTATCTTTTTATTTTCACCCCTTCCAAATCACTTTGTTTTTGGTACGTTTCTTGATTCCACAGAGTTGTTTTTTCTTTTGTGATCCTGTGTGAAATTTCTTTTTTCAGTAGTTGAATTAAACCTACCCATTTGTATTAATTGACAGGATAGATTTAATTGATCTGGTAGGTTTAATTGGTCTTGATTCTGTCACAATTTTTTTGTTGTGTTTTATTTTTCTAAGCTTTTCATTTTGTGGTTGCATTGTGAGTATGTAGTTTGAGTTTTTAGAAAAGTTTATATTTTTGATCTCTAGTTATTCTTAAAGAATTCTTCTAGAGAAACTCCACAACTGCAAATTGTGTATAATAAATGAATTAGTTTTATCTAATTGAAAATTAAAAGTTTATGTATGTAAGTATTCCACATTAGGGTCAGTTTATATGAGGTCTTGGGTTGTTTTTTTTTTAAGTTTATTTATTTATTTTGAGGGACGCCTGGGTGGCTCAGTTGGTTGAGCGTCCAACTTCTGCTCAGGTCATGATCTTACAGTTTGTAAGTTCCAGCCCCACATCAGGCTCTGTGCTGACAGCTCAGAGCCTGGAGCTTGCTTCAGATTCTGTGTCTCCCTCTCTCTCTGCCCCCCCCCCCGCTCACACTCTCTTTCTCTCAAAAATAAAATAAACATTAAAAAATTTTTTTAACTTTACTTATTTTTGAGAGAGAGAGAGACAGAGAAAGAAAGAGCATGCACACTAGTAGGGGAGGGGCAGAGAGAGAATCCCAAGCAGGCAGTGCGGAGCCTGTTGTGGAGCTCAAACCCACAAACTGTGAGATCATGACCTGACTCGAAATCAAGGGTCAGACACTTAACCCACTGAGCCACCCAGGCACTTCTAAGCTATATCATGACAAATACGAAATGAATGACTTTAGGCCAAGGATCAAGTTATTATTAAATATTTATATCTGAAAATTTTACTTACAAGGAAAATGGTATTAGATATAAAGCTATCCCTGGTCTTAAGGTTTTTAATTTGTTTTTGAAATTATTAAGATATGAGTGTTTATTGTTTGAATTTGTTAGATTATATAAAGAAAGAAGCAAACATTTTGGTGACTCTCTCTCCAGATATATTGCCAAGCATATTTTTACCTAAGCTGGCCCTAGTTATAAACAGAGAATCATTTTATGGCACCTAACTTTTTAGAGAGATGTAAATAAAACATACATATATTTTTTTCTCTTTCAGCGTTGTTGTCCAGACATGGTAAATAAATTCTTGGAAATGATTAAAGCAGAACTTATAAATACTGAAAATAAAAATAAGACTGGTGCAGAAAAAGGAAAATTAATTATGTTAGTTAGTGACTTTTACTATGGAAGACACGAGGGAGCTATTGATGATGAAGAGAAGACTTACACAACTTTTAAATGCTTCAGTTGCTTGAAAGTTCTTAAAAATAATATTAGGTATGTAAATATTTGTTACTGTTTCTGTTTGAAAATTGGTATGCTACTGATGTAAATATCATATCTTTATTTTCCTGTGCTATCCTAGGTAAGCAATTTTAACACTTTCTACTAAGAATAAAGGCAGATTATTGTGTTGAAAATCTTTTGTTTCTTATTGTATTTTAGGTGTTTGACACTTAGATCCACTTTGTTGTATTTTTTTAATAAAGCTTAAGAAAGGAAAAAAATTTGTTTTAACTTAGAGAAAAATCACATTTGTCTGTTTTTATCATTGAACTAGGAATTTTCAAGGAGATATTTTTATCATTTAGCTACTTTTGAATCTACTTTTCCTATCACAAGAACTACTTCATCCAATTTGACCTCCTCCATATTAGTCTTATTTAATGCTCTAGTTTTCAATTCATATGTATCATTTTTACCACATTTACCTTGCAGAGAAAGTGATATTTTAAAAATACTTTCTACTTTTTTTTATTTTTGAGAGAGAGAGTGCACAAGAGGGGAAAGTGCAGAGAGAGGGGGGGACAGAGGTTCCAAAATGGGCTCCACACTGACAGCAGAGAGCCCAATGCGAGCTCAAACTCACGATCTGTGAGACCGTGACCTGAGCTGAAGTCAGACACTCAACCACCCCTAGAAAGTGATATTTTTTGATGATCTTCTTTTTTTTTTTTATTTAAAAAAACCTTTTTTTAACGTTTATTTATTTTTGAGACAGAGAGAGACAGAGCATGAACAGGGGAGGGTCAGAGAGAGGGAGACAGAGAATCTGAAACAGGCTCCAGGCTCTGAGCTGTCAGCACAGAGTCCAACGCGGGGTTTGAACTCACGGACCGCGAGATCATGACCTGAGCTGAAGTTGGCCGCTTAACCAACTGAGCCACCCAGGTGCTCCTGATGATCTTCTTTAGAGAAGTTCCAGTTTATGAAACTTGTCTGCTTTTATTTTATAATTTAACATATTTTAAAAGTAGAGATATAATTCTCGATTTTGAAGATTTATACGTGTATGGTTTAAATTTTAGGAACTTATACTTTGCAGTCTTTGAGTAATATGGCATATTACTGTCATCCTAAGTAAGATAGTAATGAACAAAGTAACAGGCAAGACACACTGACTGGTATTTTTCATTGGGTATATAGTCTGACATTGTTTTTTTTCAACATTTTATTATAAAACTTTTCAAATACTCAGCAAAGTTGAAAGTATTTTACAGTGGACATCTGTATATTTACCTCCTCGATTCTACCATTAGCATTTTACCTCACTTGTGTTGCCACGTACCTATTCATCCATAGGCTCCATTTGATGTTTTTGTTTTTTTGTTTTTTTACTTTTCAGAGTAAATTGCAGGCATCAGTGCACTTCCTTTAGATGTGATACTGATAGATATATATATATATATATATATATATATATATATAGTCACACACACATATTTGTAAACTTTTAAAAATATTTACCCTTGATAGCTATGCTTTGTAATTAGCATTCTTAAGTATCCTGCAGGTCATTTCTAAGCCTAGTATTTATTTTATTTTCTGATGAATTCTTGGGTCCAAAATGAAGTACCTGGAAAACCCCTGAAATGCACTGTAATATAAACCTAAAACAATTATGAATGCTACATCTGTGGCAGTGCTTTCTATTCAAAGACCTTTCACATATATGATTCATATGAGTTTTTACATTTCTTTACCTCCTTTTATTAAGCCCTAACAGCCATCAATAGCTAATGGCCAGTAGCTTAACAGAAGAGAATTGTGCTTTGAGATGTAACACTGAAACAATGTTATGATGAGAATTCTGTGACTTCCTTCCATATCTTTACCATTTTTACAATAAAATACATGAGAAAATAATAGTAAGTTTGGTCAAATGCATAGGAAAGCGGTTCACTGTTTAAGTATTTAACTTATTATAGTTAAATGTTAGGCATGTGATACTGGAAGTTCTTTCAGCAATAGCCTTTTGGTTTTTCCTTTAAGATTGGCCTGTTTAATATTAAACATGAAATTTCCTTTTTTGTTTCATTTCAAAAGACTGGTTATAGATTTCTAGATTATCAGAATATCTAGAAATTTTAAGCTAACCATATTTTATAACACTTAGAAATCTTGTAGGATTTTTGTCATATTGTTTAGTAAATAAAACCTGAACAGTTAACCAAAGATGTTGTAGATGTTAAATAACATTTTACCTTAACGGTAAATCTAGTATGGCAAATTGATGGTTTTAGAGGGTGATAGAAGTGAATAGGTCAAGATTTCTACTCTCTGCCCTATCAAGATATTGTAGGATTTTTTTTTTTTCTACATTAAGTGTTACCAAAACCAGTTAGGGCTATTTTATTCTGAGAATGGCTTTGTGAGGTGGTTACTTTTTTCCACATCTCCATCTCCTGGCTTGAGAAATGTGCACTGCAGATGGGGGCAGTATAATAATTGAGAGATAGCTAGTTAACAGATCACTTTATACAGGTAGATTGTATTACTTAAAAGTTATGAGCTGAAAGTTTAATGGCTCATGACCTTTATATGTAAATATTTAGGCAAAACTTGGATTTTTAAAAATAGATTTTAATAAATGATGTTAAAATTAAAGAAGGGGGAAGAGGGGCTGCTGGCTGGCTCAGTTGGCAGAGTATGTGATTCTTGATCTCAGGGTCGTGAGTTCAAGCCTCACATTGGGCATAGAGCCTACTTAAAAAAAGGAGGAAAAAATATGTCAAGGTGTACTGTAAGCAGGACGTGTCAGAAGATAAATGTTAAAACCTCCATATTATGGTTGCTATCTAGGCTGATGACATCATCACTTCAAGATTGTATCCTTTGGGGACTCATAATGAGTAACTGTTAATATTTGACTTTGTATTAAAATTGTTAATGTGATTGAATAGCTTTACTTTGAAATTCAGTAAAAAGTTTCAGTGAGCCTTCTGAAATAGATCTGCCTTTTTATATTGTACTCTCTGCCATCGAAGGTCATAGTTTCCTTCTCATAAGAAACCTATTAGGGAACCTGACATAACAGAATGTAAAAAATGAACTGCGCTACAGGGGGCATGGCCTGCGGGTCAAAATGAAGTGTTTGTGCTAATAGTAAACCACTATCATGAAATAAAACAAGATGTTCTTGTAATTAAGAAAAGCTCTTGTAATTATAGGTATTAAAATTGCTACTACATGCATTTACAAACCAAAACACAAATAAAAATACTAATTTGTCTTTTAAGCAGCTGAAACCTATTGTATGTCTTTAAGACCTTTAAAAGACTTCTCTCTGGCTCCGTAGCTGCTTTTGGTGATAGGGTTTTCTCTCTTTATGTGTTTAATGTATTTAAAATGGAAATAGTATTTCATGTGTGGAAAAGAAGCCTGTTGTTTTTCTTTACAAACTTTTTAAAATCTGAATGAACGATGAAGGCTTGTAGCAAATTAGTGGTATTTCATATGAACTACATTAATGGATGATTCTCAAACAAAGATGCAGAGAGAAATGTTTACTGGGCCACCTAATGAAAGTGATTATTTAAAGTGCACACTTTTCTAGAAGACTTTAAGGCTTTGGAGATACTATTTTGAGTAACATAACTATATTTTTAACATTTAAGTTCAAATACTTATCTGTGAGTTTTTTCCTTGGTTATAAATCTGAATATTTGCATCTATTGACAATCATTTATAGGTTTATGAACCACATGAAACACCATCTGGAACTTGAGAAGCAGAACAGCGAGAGCTGGGAAAACCATACTACCTGCCAGCACTGCTACCGTCAGTATCCCACACCGTTCCAGTTGCAGTGTCACATCGAGAGCACACACACTCCGCATGAGTTTTCTAGTAAGTCACCATTTTGCCGAAGTCGTGAACATCCATGACTTTGGTTATCTAAGCTCTGAGGACTCCTTACGATTTCTGATGAGAAACGTAAGAAAAAGAAATAAACTTTGGATTGTGGGCACAGTTGAAAATCAAGTTTTAACATGTATAAACTCTTCGCTAGAATTGCTTTCTAAAACTGAAGTCTTGTAAATAGAAACTTCCTTTGCATAATTCGTGCATCGTACATAGGGGGCTAATGTTAGAAAACTCGGATGCCCCAGTTTGCAATTATGGAATCAATGGCCTTGATTTACACCCTAATAAGAAAAGTAACTGCGATGATAGTTAAAAATCATGGAGTCTGGAGTTAGCTAGGATTTAAATTCCAGTTCTGCATCTTAGTATAGCTATTAAGACCTCCGGCAAGTTATTTAATCTTTCTGTGCCTCAGGTTCCTCCTCTGGAAAATGGGGATAAAAATAGCAGTACCTCTCTCAGTGATGGCATATAAGTAAAGTCCATAGAACAGTGTTACAGAGTTAACAACTCTAGAACCGTTGGAACCACCATCACTATTACTATTACTGTTATTATTGCCATTGTTATGGGTATACAAAATGCATCTTTTATTTCTATACATCCTTAAAATGGTGTAATTGTTTTTTCCACTTTCAGCTATTTGCAAAATCTGTGAATTATCATTTGAAACCGAACATGCTCTTTTGCAACATATGAAGGACACTCATAAACCCGGTGAAATGCCATATATTTGCCAGGTACACATTTTATCATGTACTTAGGTTTTTGTTTTACTTTCACGTGCCACAAAATCATATTCTGTTGCTCTTTTTAACTGTTTGAATAAAACAAGTTACTAAAATTGAAGACACTCTTCAATAATGGAAACTCCATTGACGTAACTCATATACATGGGCAATGGTGGCTTGGACTTTGTAGGCCATAGTTTATTGATCCCTGGACTAGACAAACAAAATGACCTGCTGCAGAAAGACACATGTATGGGTTTTCTTACCATGTAGAGAAGAATATAGATATGACAGAGAAATAAGAAATGCTATTAGTTATGGGGAACTCAACTAAATGCTTTGAGACCAGTATTTTTCCAGAATTTAAAATGGTTCCCAATCAGATAGCAAGATAAATTGCCTCTGTCATAGCCTGGGTGCCATTTAAAATCCAAAGAAGAGAATACTCTATTTTATATAGCAGGAAAAACTTTCTAGGACAAGAGGTGTCAAAATTTGGAAATTCAAACAAGATAGGGGGGCAGTAGGTCTGAAAAAAAAGAAGAAAATCTGGTTATATTTAGGAATATATCCCTAAACTTTGAAAGATAATTTTTGTTTCAAAGATTATACTTATTATTTTCAGTAATAGAATTCTTGGTTGTATATGCAGCAGAGCTGAATTAGCGTTACATAATATTCCTCTAAATAAATGACTCATCATTACTACTTTGATGTAATTGCATGTCCGTTATAACTTTCAAGTTAAATTAAACCTTCTTTATATTTCTAGGTTTGCCAGTTTAGATCTTCAACATTTTCTGATGTAGAGAATCATTTTAGAGCATCCCATGAAAACACTAAGAACTTGCTGTGTCCATTTTGCCTCAAAGTTAGTAAAATGGCAACTCCCTACATGAATCATTACATGAAGCATCAGGTGAGATTTAGCAGTTATTTGTTCATTTTGTCTTAGTAAAAAAGCGTGTGTGTGTATATACGTACGTATGTGCACATATACGTATGCATATGTGTATATACGTATATATGTATACACACACACACACACACACACATACACCTTAGAGCATTGGTTAGATTTGTTCTAAAAGGAAAGTTAAGTGGTTACAAATGACATGATTAATTTACAATTTATGCTGAATTACTTGTGAAATTTCCACTCCTTATCTTTGTCCACTTCCTATTGGTGGTGCGGCTCTTGAATAGAGAGAGTTCTGAGGTAGAAATGGGAGGCCTAGAGCAGAGGGGAAGAGGGAAGATGAGGGAAATATTGAAGTTGAATATTTCAGGGGTCTACAAGTGGTGAAAACAGGAATGATTTTAAAGGTAGTGAATCAAGAGCAGGGAAAAGGGTATTTTTGAACTGAGAAAGATAAGCTTGAGGACTCCATCTTTTTTTCTCCTTCTCCAAACTTCATTTCTACTTTCTAGCTCAGTTTTTATTATGAAAAGACATGTGGTTGTCTTAGCAACCTAGAATGGTCTTTTGTAGCAGCCAGTGACAAAGGAAATAGCAATGACACTTGTTTCTAGATATGTGAACTCTTCCAGAGGACTATATTTAGGTTAGAACTTGTTTCCTAGATGACTTTTGCCAGTTTAGCTATGTCATTTCTGGGATACCAGTGTTAGTGCTGGCACTTTTCCCTTGAATTCTCAGTTTATTCTTGCTGGGTCTTTTCCTGACACAATTAGACCATCCTTTATTTAGGCTGAAAACTTTGATGAGACAGTAAACCTATTCTTTTTTTTAATGTTTATTGATTTATTTTTGAGAGTGGGGGGAGGGGCAGAGAGAGGGAATGAGAATCCCAAGCAGGCTTTGTCAGCTGTCAGCACAGAGCCCAGTGCGGGTCCTGAACTCATGAACTACGAGATCATGACCTGAGCCGAAATTAAGTCAGACACTTAACTCGACTGAGCCACCCAGTCACCTTTAAACAGTAAGTCTATTCTTGAGTGTTTGAAAGAGCAGTGGTACCTTTGCCAAAATTAGAAGTCAACGAGTTTACCAAATGCAATTATGTAATCGAGTTTTGTCTCCTCACTCATAAGCTCATTACATTGTCTTATTATTGATTGCGTTGTCATGGCCAATTTGCTCAGCACTGGTTTTCTCAGCATTGTTTACTCAGTATTGTTTCAGTTCCACTCATTAAATGACCATGAAATCAACTTGTACTTGTTAATTGAAAAAAATTATAAAAAGTAGAATACGCAAATACCTTCAGGATCACTTGTGTCATGACTGGGATGGTTCCAACATGCTGGGTATGCCATCTCACCTTTAAGAACCTCTGGCAAAATCTTTCTTTTTAAAAAAAAAATTTACATTTTTTAAACTTATTTTTGACAGAGACAGAGACAGAGCACAAGTAGGGGAGGGGCAGAGAGAGAGGGAGACACAGAATCCAAAGCAGGCTCCAGGCTCTGAGCCCGATGTGGGGCTCGAACTCACAAACTGTGAGATCATGACCTGAGCTGAAGTCAGACGCTTAACGGACTAAGCCACCCAGGTGCCCCCCTGGCAAAATCTTTCTATTCTAGAGTTTCCCAGGAGTGTTCCATCAGATGTTAATAGATGTTCCACTCTAAAATTGCTCCTGGAAAAAGAAGTTCCGTAATTGGCTGGATTTACAAAATTAACAATTTTTTGTTTATGTTTAAAAATAGAGCTTTTAATATGCTAGAAAACCTTATAAATCTCCAAGGAAGGGATATTGTCTATATTGTTCCCAAAGTTTATTTAATCCTTTGTTGCGCAATGCCTACTAACATTTCTTGAGGAATAGTTTGGAAAACGCTGGTCTTGGTGCTTTATTTCATGTTTTGACCTTTAATTTTGAAAGGAAGAATGAGATATAAAACAGTAGCTCTAACTATTTCATTATGAAGCTTTTAACATAATTCTTCCTACCATGCTTTACTCATCTCCAGAGTGAGGTACAGATGCAGAGGGAGTAACAATGTCCTTAGAAAGGTAAAGAGATGGATGGGCCTGCCATGTGGACCGTGTCTCTTAAGTGGTTTACCTGGTCTACAGTCACTCTTCATACCCTAAATTGTATGCCTTATCTTGCCATGTATATAGGAAAGAGTGGACCCAGCAGGTCTGCGTTGTTCAAATCATGTACATTTTCAGAAGGGTCTGTTTGCACATTGTCATAATTAGCCCTTGGCTAACTCCTGGAAATTGAGCCTTTGTTATTAATTGATGAGTGTTTTACATGCCTAGGACCTTGAGCCACATTGTGCCAGCTTTTCTAGATCATTTGTACAAAGATATGATTATGGTAAACACCTGCTTTTCTTCTGGGAGCCTGAAGATTTGGTGACTGAACCCTTTAAAAAAAAATAAACCTGGCTTCTGGTGACTGGACCCTGTGAAAAGAACAAACCTAGCTTCTTAGACTCAAGAGAGCTTTCCTCGTAAAAAGCACTTCATACGTATTGCTGCAGTTAGTTGCCGGGGGATTGATTAAACGTGTCCTATGCAGCTTGTTGGGAGAGTGCACTTGGAAACTGGTGCCAATATCCTCCAAACTCCACCCAATGCATTTTTCTTCCTTTATTAATCCTGTTCTGTATCCTTTCACTGTAATAATTGTGTCTATGAGTATAACAATTTCTAAATCCTGTAAGTTCTTCTGCATCATCAAGCCTGGGAGTAGTCTTAAGGACTTGGTGCCCAATATTTGTGAATTTGGAGTACCTAAGAGGTAGCCAGTGAGCAGTCAACAGAGGAAAGAGTCCAATAATAGGATCATCAAGAGTTTTTCAAAGTACTTTCAGTTTATGCAGTTGTCCACAAAAGACTCAAAAACCATAGCTGAGCAGGATTATAAACTTGTAATTGAGCTAACATTAGTGTGATTTTAGATAATAGGAATTATTGAATCTGTGGCTCATTTTATTCTTTTTGAAGACTTTGGTTGTAACCTTTTCCTAAAGAGAATATATTAGTATGTCTTAAGTGATTTTAAGAGCTATCGATATGGTTTGTACAACTTTTAAGAAAGGATGAAGGATTTTATATGTTAGATATTCTTATTCAATCTTTATAGAAATAACAAGTAGCTAATATATACTAATCACTTGTCATATGACAGTCACAGTGTTTTTACTTGCATTTTTTTGTTTAATCCTCACAAACATCCTACAAAGCAGGTATGATCATTTTCATTTCATAAATGAGGAAATAAAGCTTTATAGACAGTAAGTTACTTTGCCCAGTGCCACATTCCCTAATAAATGGCAGAGCCAAAAATTGACTTAGAGCCCAAGGTTTTACCATAGAGTCATATCCTTTACCAACATTAGGTCTAAAAGCAGATATTACAGGTAGTCAGAATTAGCCTTGAAAATTCCTCAAATCACCCAAACAATATAGTATGTTTGTCAGAAAGTTCAACGCAGACGGGTAATTCTCTATCCTTGGAATAGATCACCAATTTTTTGGTTGAACATCATATTATTTAAAACTGTACTGTATTATCCTTTTTTTTTTTTTTTTTTAAGTAGGCTTCATGCCCAGCGCGGAGCCCAATGCGGGGCTTGAACTCACGACCCTGAGATCAAGACCTGAGCTGAGATCAAGATTCAGACGGTTAACCGACTGAGCCACCCAGGCGTCCCTCTGTATTATTCTCCTTACCACATCTCAAGCATATATGCATAAGAGAGATATGCAAGACTCGAGTCCAACTAAGGGAATAGTAGATTAATGTCTCCCATCCCAGGGCTCTGGGCAAATGCTCATTGAATGGCATGGCAGACATTTTGAACTAGTTAAATTGTGCCTGCTTCTCATATGCATGCTCCTTCAGTCTCTTGCTGTCTTCCTCGTTATTTATTTAACAAATACTTATTGAGTGCTTAATATATGCCAGGGACTGTTTAACAGAAGTGAACAAAACAGTTTGTGCTCTCTGGAATTTGCATGGTAGTGGAGAAAGTGTATGTGTATTATGTCTGAATGTAAATGTATGCCAGCTGGTGATAAGTACCATGGGAAGAAAACATGAGGTTAGGGAGTGCCAGGGCTTAGGAGGTGAAGGAAGCCATTTCTGTTTTTATATGGGATGGTCAAAGAGGGCCTCTCCAAAGGAAATAAGAGAGTTAGCTATGTGGATATCTGAGAGAGGATATTTCAAGGAGAGGGAATAGTAAGTAGGCAGTGAGGTGAGCACCTATCTAGATGTCCAAGGAACAGCAAGGGGCCCATGTGGCTGGAGCATGGCAAACAAGTGGGAGGGAGAGTAGGTTGAAATGAGACTGTAGCAACAGAATGCAGAGTAAATGGCGTAGGGTCTTGTGAGCCAGAGTTAGGATTTTGATGTGGTGTGGAAAACCATTGGAAGCTTTAAGCATGTGAGAGATCACTCTGGCAGCTATAGAGAGAATAGACTGTTAGGAGGAAAGGGTGGGAACAAGGAGAAGGTAGGAGGCTATTGGAAAAGTCCAGGTGAGTGGCTTGGACTGACATGGTGGCTGAACAGGTGATAAAAAGTGGAAAGATTGTTTTTGAAGGTAGAGCTGACAGGTTTTATTAATGGGTTGGTGGATGTGGGGTGTGAAAGAAAGGCATGAATTAAGTGTAACTGAGTTCTTTTGTCCTGAGCCACTGCAAGAATGGTGTTCCCATACACTGAGATATTGAGAAGACTAGGGAAGGAACAGATTTTTTTTTTTTTTTGCAGGGTGGATGGGGGAAAATCTAGAGTTCAGTTTTGTTTATGTTGATTTGAAATGACCGTTAAATATCAAGTAGTAATGTCAAGTAGGCAGTTGGATGGATGCTATTTAAAATCATGAAACTGGATGAGGTATATGCACAGGTAGAGAAAAGATTTCTAGGAATTGTACTCTGGGGAATTTTCTACCTGTCCTGTAACCTTGCTATCTGCTTCTTGACTGGGATCTTTTTCCCTCTTTCCTTCTTTCTCTTGAACACATGTTAGGTGAATCTGTTTACATTGCCTATACCTAGGATATGATCCAATGCACCATACTTCTAAAATTGTCTTAAAAATGAAACTCAAATAGTAATACAAACATTATATTTATATATTGCTTTGAAGTTTTTTCAGAACTTTTATTTATCAAATGCCTGCTGTACACCAGTAACCACTAGCTACTTACACATGTTAACTCATTTGCTTTTCCTAAATAATTATGCTTTACATGAAAATAGTGATGGGCCTGTGGAGATACAGCTTTGGAGAAAACATTCTTTTGCATTTGTATGTTTTTCTAAATTTACCTATAAATATAGAATATATTTCTTAATTAATGAAAGCATATACATAAAGATTGCAGTTGATAATGTGTAATAGAAAGAACATCACCTAGCTATGAGCAAATGACTTAGATCTCCCTTGGGTCCTATTTCCCATTGATAAAAAAATAATAGGCCTAAGTTTGAGAAGTGATGTAGTCAAGGGGTTCTCTGACAAAAGATTGGGATCAATTGTTCTCATTTGTACTTCTGTAGCCATACTGGCCAGTATCACAGCCACTAGCCATCTGTGCCTGCTTAAATTAGTTAAAATTAAGTAAAATTGAAAAATCAGTTCCTGTGTTGAACTTTTTACAGTTCAGGTGGTCAATAACAACATGTGGCTGGTGAATACCATATTGGACAGTGCAACTATGTAATGTTATCAGACACTGTAGAAAGTTCTACTGGACAACACTGCTTTATACAATCATTTCTGTAACAGAACTTTTGGAGGGGATGTCTGGTTAAAATTGTTTTGGTTTTAGGAAGTTCAAATCTTTTAAAATGTTTACTTATTTTGAGAGAGAGAGAGAGAGAGAGAGAGAGAGAGAAAACATGAGTGGGGGAGGGGCACAGAGAGAGGGAGACAGAATCCCAAACAGGCTCCTCCACACTGTCAGCACAGAACCCGATGCAGGGCTTGATCTAACAAACCACGAGATCGTGACCTGAGCTGAAATCAAGAGTCGGACCCTTAACTGACTGAGTCACCCAGGTGCTCATAGAAAGCTCAATTGTTTTTGTGAAACAAATAGAAATTTAAAAAATTGGGATGCCTGAGGGGTTCAACTGGTTAAGTGTCTGACTCTTGATTTCGGCTCAGGTCTTGATCTCGAGGTTCGTGAGATCAAACCCCACATGGGGCTCTGCACTGACAGCACGGAGCCTGCTTGGGATTCCCTGACCACCCCACCCCCCATCCCCACCTTCTGTCTCTCAAAAAAATAAATGACATTAAAAAAAGAAATTTTAAAAATTAAAAATAACTTCACCTTTTCTAGGATAAAAATATAGTATAACTCATTTTCACTGTAACGTGTGCTTGAATGGTTTATACTTAAATTTATAATTAAAAAAGCTTTCACACTACAAAGGTATAGGACTTGTCACATTTGAACCTAACTGATACAACTTTTGTTTTGATTGCCTATATGGCAATAAATACTTACTTTAAAGATTTCATTTTTAAGTAATCTCTACACCCAGTGTGGGGCTCAAACTTTTAAACCCTGAAATCAAGAGTTGCCATGTGTTACCAACTGAGCAGCCAGGTGCCCCACAAATACTTTTGAAATACAAATACTAATGCAAGCAGTGTTCTTGAAAAAAATGAAAGAATATTCTGGCATTGTTTATGATGGGATATAGTAAAATACTGGTTTTTTAAAATTGTTTAGCTATTACAATTAAGAGCAATTTCAGATTCCAGGATTTGTGGTGATAGAAGTTGTTATTTCTCATAGTATTTTTAATGTTTCTTATAAACAGAAAAAAGGAGTTCATCGTTGTACCAAGTGCAGACTACAATTTTTGACCTGCAAAGAGAAACTGGATCACAAGACCCAGCATCGGACATTTATAAAGCCTAAAGAGCTAGAAGGATTGCCTCCTGGTACAAAAGTGAGTTTTAAATATGTTTTATTTTAACATTTTGTGTGATAGTAGAAGTAAATTCCTGCCTGGTTTTGTTTTAAATGTCTATTTATTTATTTTGAGAGAGAGAGCACAAGCAGGGGAGAGGGGCAGAGAGAGGGGGAGAGAAAGAGAATCCCAAGCAGGCTCCACGCAGCATGGAGCGCAACGCGGGGCTTGATCTCACAACCACGAGATCACGACATGAGCCAATATTGAGTCGGTGACTGAGCCACCTGGGCACCCCAGATTTTATTTTCAAGTAATCTCTATACCCAATGTGGGGCTCATACTTACAACCCTGAGATCAAGAGTCACATGCTCTACTGACTGAGCCAACCAGGTGCCCCCTGCCTGGGTTTATCTATTGACTATAATATTAAAAATTAACTTCTGCTTGTCATTAAGATTTAAGTTTAGGTTTTACCATTGTTTTGCTTAGAAAGAAACCTATCCTTTTTTTTTTTTTCTTTTTTTTTTTTTTTACTTAATTGGCATGTGCTATGTTGGAGCATATTCCTATGTAGTGAGTGCAACTAGATTAACCATAGGCTGTGTCAGTGAGTTGTTTCAATATTTTATAGGCTGTTTCTGAGTTCTTCCAGGTGGCAGCGTATATGTCTGCTTCAGCTGCTAGACTGTAAGCAGTACAGTCCTTTCCCATATCTTCTCTTAATAATAATAATAATAACAAGTGTATCATCATCATCATCATCATCATAGTAATAGGTGTCTTGTAACACTTTAGAATTAAGCTTTCTGTGTGATTTTTCATACATTCTATTATTTAATAACAATTTAGTGAGGTAGACAAGACAGGTATTATTTCCATTTTATAAATGGGGAGGCTTAAAGAGGATAAATTACTTACTCAAGGTCAAATGGCTAGCAAGAGGTAGTATTGAGATTTAACCTGGGTCTTTTGACCCCTAATTCAGTGCTTTTTGTATGATACCAGGTCACATGTATTTCAAAGGACTTCCTCATTGGCTGGTCCTCAAGTACATGGGAGTAGTATAGTCAAGTGATTAAAGAGAATGTTAATAGGCAACTGTGTTTTCCATTATTAATCAGTGGGTATAACCGAACATCACCTTTTTTGAATACTAAATGATAAATGTTATGTTAGTTCCCTTTAGGGAAATTCTGAATATTTTCAAACTCTTCATTCTGTATAATTAATTGATGTAACCTCCACAATAACCTTTGGAATTATAAATCCTGACCAATGAGCCTCCAGATAGAGCAGGTCACATTTACTGGAGATCTGTTTTATAGTTACCAAAGAGTAATGCAGGACTTTCCAAGGTTATTACTTCTGGTTTTGAGATTTAAATTTTGACTTCTGTGTTTGTGAAAGCTACTTAGTTATATCAGAGAATAAAATAGACATGGAATGTGCTTTTTTTGATATTCATATAATTTGCACTAACTCCTAATTATCCGTTAATATCTGTTAACATAGAAACGCTATCAATACAAAACTGCAATTTACAACAGTAAATAAATAATGAGGTAAATGTCATTTAATTGGTATGACCATTTAGAATAAATGGGATACTTAACTGATTGTAGTTTATATTACCATTTTCAAAATAATGATATTTAAATTTTGAACTGCAGTGATTTTTTGGTAAAACAGCTTTATTGAGATATAATTCAGTGGTTTTTAGCATATTCACAGAGTTGTGCAAACATCACTACAACCCATTTTTGAACATTTGAGTCACTCCCTATTTCCCCTCCACCAGCCCTAGGCAAACTTTACTTTCTGTTCCTATGGATTTTCCTATTCTGGACACTTCATAAAAATGGAATCATATAGGGGCCCCTGGGTGGCTCAGTCAGTTTAAGCATCCGACCTTGGCTCAGGTCATGATCTCATGATTTGTGGGTTCAAGCCTTGCCTCGGGCTCTGTGCTGACAGCTCAGACCCTTGAGCCTGCTTCGGATTCTGTGTCTCCCTCTCTCTCTGCCCCTCCCCTACTTGTGCTCTGTCTCTCTCTCAAAAATAAACATGGAAACAAAAATTTTTAATGGAATCCTACAATATGTGGTCTTTTATGATTGGCTTCCTTCACTTAGCGTAACATTTGTGAGATCCATCAATATTAAAGCTTGTATCAGTAATTTATTCTTTTTTATTTGATTTATCCATTCATTATTTGATGAGCATTTGGGTTATTTGCACTTTTTAGCTGTTGTAAATAATGCTCTTATGAAAGCTCATGTACAAGTTTTTGTGTGGACTTACTTTTTCATGTCTCTTAGGTGGAATTGCTTAGGAGTGGAACACTAAGGAGTGGAATTGCTGGGTTATATGAGAACTCTCTTTTTTTAAGTTTTTATTTTTATATTTTTGAGGGAGAGAGAATCCCCAGACAGGCTCCATGCTGTCAGTGTGGGGCCAAATGTGGGGCTTGAACCCACAAACCATGAAATGATGACCTGAGCTGAAATCGAGTCAGACACTTAACCAGCTGAGCCACCCAGGCGCCTCATATGATAACTCTTAAGTTTAACATTTTGAAGAACTACCAACTGTTTTCCAAAGCCACTGCACCCTTGTACATTCCTACCAGAAATATATGAGCTGAGCATTGCAGTTTCTCTACATCTTGTTAATACTTGTTATTAATCTGTTTTTTACTGTAGCCATTTTAGTTGGTCTAAAGTGATACCTCATTGGAGTTTTGATTTGCATTTTCTTGATGACTAATGATTGTTGAGTATGTTTTCAAGTGTTTATTGGCCGTTTGTATATCTTTAAAGAAATGCTTGTTCATTCAGATCATTTGCCCATATTTAAATTCAGTTATTTGTCTTTTTGCTGAGTTGTAAGCGTTCTTTATATATTGTGTACACAAGTCCCTTATTAGAAATATGATTTGCAAATATTTTCTCTGATTCTGTGGGGTGTCTTGTCACTTTCTTAACAGTGTCCTTTGAAGCACAAAAGTTTAAAATTTTTATGAAGTCCAGTTAATGTTTTTCTTTGGTTGCTTGTGCTTTTGTTGTCATATTGAAAAAGTCATCATCTAACCCCAAATCATGGAGATTTACTCCTATGCTTTTTTCTAAGAGTTTTCCAGTTTTAGCTCTTACAATTTGATTCTTGATACATTTTGAGTTAATTTTTGCATCTAGTATGAGATAAGGATCCGGGTTCATTCTTTGCATCTATTTATCCTGTGTTCCAACACCATTTGTTTGATGACTATTGTTTCCTCCACTGAGTTGTTTTGGTACCCTTTTCAAAAACCAATTGACCATAATGTCAAGGTATGAAGTAATCTTTTTAATATTAATGCGATGATTAATTTTCTAAAATATGTATATATTGTCTTCATTATTATAGGTTACTATTCGAGCCTCAGTTGGACCTCTTCATTCAAAACCAGTAACTACATCTCTCAGTAGCAGTGTTCCAAGCACTTCTTCTTTTCAAATCTCACCTCCAAGGTCTAAAAGTATAACTGCTAAAAATATAAAATCTACTGCAAGTAAATCTAAGACAAGTAAGCTTCATGCAGCTGTATCCAGTGCAAGTAAACCTCATGCCAAAAGGCAAGGTAGAGTTGCATCTAAATATAAGACCAAAAAAACCTCTTGTAAACAAAAGAAACAACGCAACAGAAAGAATAAAATCAGCATAGCTTTGAAGAACTTAAGGTAATATCTTTTATTCCTGATATGTAATATTTATTGAATATTAAATATTAAAGGTTTATTTTAATATAATTTACCATATCACAGAGCTCCCTTGTACATTGACATGATGATCATTTGTCTGGCCTAAAGGCCTAGAAGATAATAAAAAGGTACTTTTTACAACTGCGGAGCAGAACTAGAATTAGCGTTCATTGTACAGTTGTCATCATTTACACTAGTCTTCTATTTTGTGCTTATATCTTGTAATAATTGAATTGATTAATGCAGTCATTTTATTCCAGGGAACATTAACTGGTGTTTGATTTTTGACACTTATTCTAGCTTATTGTTTCCAATCAAATTTTCAAATTATGTCTCTATTTAAAGATGCTAATTTAAACATCTTAGCTTTGATTAATAAAATGTTAAGGCTTTACCTTATTATTTTTGTTTCATGAGAAATTTTCATTATTTTTTTTCTGTCTCCATAAGGTGCCGTCGGGGAATTCACAAGTGCATTGAGTGTCATTCCAAAATAAAAGATTTTGCAAGCCACTTTTCAATATATATCCATTGTAATTTTTGCAAATACAACACTAACTGTAACAAAGCCTTTATAAATCATATGGTGAGGTAAGTTAAACATGTACACCACCAATCAAAATTGCTATTTAACAATTTTGTTTTTTAAAAATAAAGTTGTTTTTTTAGAAGCCAGTTTGTCACATAAGGGGCTAAAAGGATCTAGCAATAGGGAACATCTAGGATATTACTTAATATTATTTTCCAATGTAATACCTTATGAAATTAAGGGGACAAAAGTTTTAAGAGCAGTTAGACCAATGAAATTAGAATAGGTTTGTTAGGAAATTTGTTTTTCTAAGTCTTTTAAGAAGTGGTATTTTCAAACATAAAATTTTTAATGTTTTTAAAATATATGTCAAATAAATACATGTAACCACAAGAGTGTTAGCCTCTTCAAAGGAGTCACTTTGAGAGACTCCAGGTTTGTCAAAGATGCTAAGAACAATATTGGCACTCTCATGAATGGACTCTCTTCCTCCCTTCTCCCTCCCTTCTGCCCCTTCCCTTTCATCCATCTTTCTGTCCATTAGCCTTTCAAGCCATTTATCTTTGTATTCATTCAATGAAATGTGAAGTGAGAGACTATAGGTATATTTTAGTCATGATGCTGCTGTTAGAATTCCTTTTCAGACAAAAGTTCAGTTTGAGCACCTACCATGTACTCTGTGCTAGAGAAAAACTTCAGAGACCACACTACTTCACTACTTTCATTTGAACCTCATTAGTAGTAGCTTACTTTATTCTTTCAGGAAGGATTTTTAAAAAATATGTAAGAATTGTTCAGATATAAATATGCTAAGTTGATTATTCAAACTGAGGTCGTTCCGTGTATTTTCAGTCAGAAATAAAGTGGTTTTCTTGCAGATCATAACAAGACCTCTGTTACCTGTTACCCCCCTTCCTTACCACTGTCCCAATGTACTTCATCATATACAATATTTATTCATTTTGAGTTCTCATTACCTGATGATTTTGAGTCTTGACGCTTCTTTCCAGTGCAGCAGCACCAAACTTGATATCAACCTCACCCTTAAGGTCATCTGTTTTGAATGTTGCTTGCTTTTTGTCCTAGAATCTTTTACATCTTCAGTCATGTTTAACCTTACTATCCTTGAATCTCTTACCCTTTTTGATCTTTCTCTCTGCTGCTTTCCAAACTACCAAACTGTGTTTGATTTAATTATCTCTGAATCCATGATTTTTTTTTTAAATGTTTATTTTTGAGAGAGAGTGAGAGAGTGCAAGCAGGGGAGGGGGGGGGGGTGCGGGACGTTTCAGGGTATCCGAAGCAGGCCCTGAGCTGACAGCAGAGAGCCCAATGCAGGGCTTGAGCCCGGGAACCACAAGATCATGACCTGAGCTGAAGTCTAACACTTAGCCAACTGAACCACTCAGGCAACCCTCTGAATTCATGATTTTTAACTTTAATTTGGTTGTGTGTTTTTAAAAATACCTCTTTATTTTTTTCTGCAGCACCTGTTTAAATCCTTTTCAATACCCTCAAGGTTTTATTTTAGTCTCTTAGTTGTTAGTCTCTTTCCTAGTAACTACCCAGAGGTCATCCTTCTCATTTTTCCCAAGATTAACTTTTTTCTATCGCAAGTTTTTCCCCCTTTATCCAGGTATCTCAGAAAAAGACATTTCTCACTTTTTGAAAGCTAATCCTGCTTTCATTTGCATTCATCTCTTCCATTTGCTCCACAACCTTACTCCTTTATTTTGTGCCTTCATTTCATCTCTTTCTACCACATTCCTTCTGCCTGCTAATATTTTCAGGTATTTTTCTAGAATGAAGGAGATTTGCGTTTTCTTTGTGTATTTTCTTGTCTTCCTTTTATTGTCAACATTTTCAAGAGTTTCTTTACTATCTTATTTGCTATTTCTTTACCCTTTGTAATTTGAGTATCACCCCCACCTATCAGTTAAAGCTTCCCCTTTAAAGGTTATCAGTCATATCCTAATCATTAAACGTATTCATTATTTTTTATTCTTACTTTTCCGTGACTTCTTTAGAATATTTTTTTTTCATGGGGCGCCTGGGTGGCGCAGTCGGTTAAGCGTCCGACTTCAGCCAGGTCACGATCTCGCGGTCTGTGAGTTCGAGCCCCGCGTCAGGCTCTGGGCTGATGGCTCAGAGCCTGGAGCCTGTTTCCGGTTCTGTGTCTCCCTCTCTCTCTGCCCCTCCCCCGTTCATGCTCTGTCTCTCTCTGTCCCAAAAATAAATAAAAAACGTTGAAAAAAAATTTAAAAAAAAAAAAAAAAGAATTTTTTTTTCAGCTAATGTTCTTTTTTTTTTATATATATGAAATTTATTGTCAAATTGGTTTCCATACAACACCCAGTGCTCATCCCAAAAGGTGCCCTCCTCAATACCCATCACCCACCCTCTCCTCCCTCCCACCCCCCATCAACCCTTAGTTTGTTCTCAGTTCTCAACAGTCTCTTATGCTTTG